TTTATTTTTAGTTAGGTGGCGGATAAATGCAGTACCTATTTCGACCATTCTTACATACTGCACCTTTAATGAAACTTAGCAAACTAGCAGCTCATAGGCTATAACGAAAAGAATCTTGAAATCTGTCATGGAAACTAGCATGTATAAACCTTAATTAAAGAAATGAATAATCAGTTTAATGTATATCCTATGTATAATAAATGTATAGCTACATTGGACCAGCTGTTTGGAAAATATGGATGATCAGCTGCGTTCATCTTCTGGAGAGACACAGGAATTCATTCAGCGAGCCTCACGGTGCATTATGGGTATTCTATAGCCGTTGAGCGTGATATACTGACAAATGAGAGAAAATAGGCGCAGCTGCTCATTTCCAGTACCATCATGACCAATGAAATCTACTAAAATAAATAATTCTCATGATTTGGGCAGCTCGGATTACATACCTTTCCCACAGCAGTTCACTCTGTTTCCGTCAATAATATTTTTAACAATAAGATGCATTTTGTACGGAGCACCCCCTAGTCCCACTTTGGCAAAAAAAATTAATTGTAACTATCTCGTGGCCTCAAGATAGTAACTTGTGGCCTCAAGATATTAACCTGTGGCCTCAAGATAGTAACTCGTGGCCTCAAGATACAAACTCGTGGCCTCAAGATACTATCCCGTGGCCTCAAGATAGTAACTCGTGGCCTCAAGATACTATCCCGTGGCCTCAAGATAGTAACTCGTGGCCTCAAGATACTAACTCGTGGCCTCAAGATAGTAACTCGTCGCCTCAAGATACTATCCCGTGGCCTTAAGATAGTAACTCGTGGCCTCAAGGTACTAACTCGTGGCCTCAAGATACTAACTTGTGGTCTCAAGATAGTAACTCGTGGCCTCAAGATACTAACTTGTGGCCTCAAGATACTAACTTGTGGCCTCAAGATAGTAACTCGTCGCCTCAAGATACTATCCCGTGGCCTTAAGATAGTAACTCGTGGCCTCAAGGTACTAACTCGTGGCCTCAAGATAGTATCTTGTGGTCTCAAGATACTAACTCGTGGCCTCAAGATACTAACTCGTGCCTCAAGATAGTAATTTGTGGCCTCAAGATAGTAACTCGTGGCCTCAAGATAGTATCTTGTGGCCTCAAGATAGTAACTCGTTGCCTCAAGATAGTAACTCATGGCCTCAAGATACTATCTCGTGGCCTCAAGATCTATCTTGAGGCCACGAGATTGTATCTTGAGGCCACGAGTTACTATCTTGAGGCCACAAGTTACTATCTTGAGACCACAAGATAGGTATAATTAATTTTTTTGCCAAAGTGGGAGTAGGGTGGCTCCGTAATTTTGTCCATAGAAATGTGTCGATGTGACTAGCAGAAGTTTTGAGTGCACGTTGCGCAGACGAGACTAATAGATAATGACATGCGTTGTCAATGATTTTCATTATCGATTATTGACGATGCTATCGGCTTAGTTGTTGCAGCCCTATTTCATTTTGTACGGAGCACCCCCTAGTCCCACTTTGGCAAAAAAAATTAATTGTAACTATCTCGTGGCCTCAAGATAGTAACTTGTGGCCTCAAGATATTAACCTGTGGCCTCAAGATAGTAACTTGTGGCCTCAAGATATTAACCCGTGGCCTCAAGATAGTAACTCGTGGCCTCAAGATAGTAACTTGTGGCCTCAAGATACTAACTTGTGGCCTCAAGATAGTAATTCGTGGCCTCAAGATACTAACTCGTGGCCTCAAGATACTAACTTGTGGCCTCAAGATAGTAATTCGTGGCCTCAAGATACTAACTCGTGGCCTCAAGATACTAACTCGTGGCCTCAAGATACTAACTCGTGGCCTCAAGATACTATCCCGTGGCCTCAAGATAGTAACTCGTGGCCTCAAGATACTATCCCGTGGCCTCAAGATAGTAACTCGTGGCCTCAAGATACTAACTCGTGGCCTCAAGATATTAACTCGTCGCCTCAAGATACTATCCCGTGGCCTTAAGATAGTAACTCGTGGCCTCAAGGTACTAACTCGTGGCCTCAAGATAGTATCTTGTGGTCTCAAGATACTAACTCGTGGCCTCAAGATACTAACTCGTGGCCTCAAGATAGTAATTCGTGGCCTCAAGATAGTAACTCGTGGCCTCAAGATAGTATCTTGTGGCCTCAAGATAGAAACTCGTTGCCTCAAGATATTAACTCATGGCCTCAAGATACTATCACGTGGCCTCAATGAGGTATAAGTAATTTTTTTGCCAAAGTGGGAGTAGGGTGGCTCCGTAATTTTGTCCATAGAAATGTGTCGATGTGACTAGCAGAAGTTTTGAGTGCACGTTGCGCAGACGAGACTAATAGATAATGACATGCGTTGTCAATGATTTTCATTATCGATTATTGACGATGCTATCGGCTTAGTTGCAGCCCTATTTCCGTCTGTTGTAACTTTCATTGTCCACGAAACGAAGGGTGCATTTCAAGGCCACATTTTAAGGAGATTTTGATTTGGGACAGCCCTTGTTGTGCTGTGGTGGCACAATGGACTTTGAATGTAACATTTTATCTGAAATTCCTTTCCATGTGAACAGATCAATGAGGGTGAGCTTGGCCGTCATCCTCCACTTTGCAGTCTGCATCATCCCTGCATTATTTCAATCCTTCCTTTTCCTCCCTCAGGTACAAGAACAATGTTACCATTGATCCTATGTCCAAGCCAGGAAAGTACAAATTGGAGAGCAGCTACAATGTCCACTCCCTGGAGATTAACAGGTGAGCACACATGGACTTCAAAGTGCACAGTCAAAATGATTTGCAATGGTTGTGTGAGTAACACATATGTCTCTAATTCAAGGTGTGATTTTGATGACACTGCACAATATCGAGTGTCAGCCATGAACAGCAAGGGCGAGAACTCTGCTTTTGCTTCTGTTGTCGTCAAAAGTAGGTCTGAAATAAATCATCCTAAACTCTTATTTATACCGTCCTAGAACACTAAACAATGATTGCAACTACATCCAGTAGTTAAAATATCAATCCAGAGAATTACTATCCCTAACTACTCAATACTCAATACAAAAATTGCATTTTTTGTGATATACATTTAATAAATAGGTCCATTTTGATCACAAAGCAGAATCCTGTTAAGCATTATACTCCATTTCATTCAAATGAAAAATTGTAAGTTGCCACACTCTAAAAACAAATGTTTTGCCTAAAAAAATAATAAATAAAATAAAATGCAACAGTTTGCATCAATCTTTTTGGGTTATGTAAACTTCTAATAAAATTATGTTCAATCAACAAACTACATTAAGTTAGAGGGACATAATTATATGTAGCATAAACACAATTTTTAAGTTGTTTTTTACTAAAAAGTTGTTACTTTAAGTTGTAAAACTTAAGTTGTTCCAACTAGCTTAATTTACTTCAATGGAGCGGTGGCCGCAAAACCAGTTGATCATCTCTATTTAAATTAAAATCAAGCTAGCATATACAGTAGATCATTCCAAATTTAGCATGCAAATTTAAAGAATGTGCAAGTTATTAACAAGTTATAGCAAGTTATAACTTGTTAGTTATGTCATTGGCACTTGCGCGTTCATTGCTCAGAGCAATATACAATATAGTCTTTGTATAGAGTGCCGAAGTGATGACATCATTTTGTAGGACAACTCGGAAGCTAGCGGCGCATGAGTTCCCTCGATTGAAAAGCATTTTCCCCATAGACTTTTGGAAAATCGCAAAAATAAAGATCTGTGTTTAACAAAGAGTTGTGACCCTTACACGTTTTGTCTATCAAGATAATCTTTACAAGTTAATCCAAAATGTATACATTTTGAAACCCTAAAGTTTAAAAAAAAAAAAAATACAAGCAGACACAATAAAGTTTAAAAAAACACAAGCAGGTTATAACTGTGTGTTCTATGTCATAGATCAAAACGTTAAAATATTTAGAGGCCTTGTTCACCACAGACCTTATTTCAGGCGATTTAGCAAAAACCCATTCAAAAATCCCATAGGCTTGAGAGCGAGGGAACCGGGAGTGTTAAAATGCTAACTCACTTCCGCGTTTTGGCCTACAGAGTGACGTCGTAACTTCGGCACTCTATTGCCACCCCCACAATCGAGCTCTATACTCTTCAGCAAAAAGTTAGCATGAGATTTATGAGAAACAAATTAGCATGAGAACGCAATTCCATGATTACTGCATCGATAGGAGATACGGACGATGCGCAAATTAACAAAGTTAAGTGAACTAAAATAGGGCCAGTTGCATCAACTGATAAGACTTACAAGTTAGATGCATTTTCTTTAAAACGGTTCATGCCTTTTTTATGTCAGTTACACAAAAATGCAGATTGGTCTAATTTGATACCGAAAAGTACGTCTGATTACCCCAAACTAACTGCTTGTTGGTCATATTAGTTCTTTAGATACAGTCTTAACATAGTGGCAATGTTTATGCACTGTTACTGGCCCCAGATTATATCAAATTGAACTTAAACTGAATGAGTTCAATCCAATAAAGTCATCAAGACAATTAATAAAAAAAAAATCTATTAACATAGACATTTCAGTTTAAATTACATCTAATATTAAGAACAGAGCTCATCAAATAATAATGTTTGCAACTTTTAGAGTAGAAAATAACCTTTACTTTCTGTTTTCATTACATGAATTTAATATGTAATTATTTGGTGGAGCTCCTTGTAATTTAATCTGAAGTCATTTGAATGCTGCTGACAATTTTCTTTAGAAGGAATAGTTGGCAAATGGATCATTCCCAGTTATTTGATAAAACAGAAAAAAATCTCTCTTCTCTTGTGTGATTTGATGTTTAGGATTCAAAGGAGAATTTGATAATGCTCTGCCATCTCCCAGACTCCGTAAGTCATTCAAAATAAAATCAAATTCAAGCTGATTTCTTTTATTTCACAGTTAATGTATGTGCTTTGCTTAAGTGTGTGAAGCTTTGAGCATGAGACTAAAGTTTTTAATGGCAGCTGGCTAACGGCTATTTTGTCTCCAATTCGCTGGATACAGAAAGCAGAAAGGTCAGCTTTAAAGGTAACCTTGGTGAAGGTTTTTTTTTTTTGTTTGTTTGTAATGTTCTTGTGATGTTTTAGTTTCATCTGGTTTCCCTGATCATCTTAAGTGCATGATCGTCCCTTCTCATTGTTTTCTATCTTTGTTCATTTGATGAACATATTTACCGATTGTGTTTCAGGATTGGTTTGACGAGTTAGACACAATGCCCTGTTTTGAGAACTGACTTGATATTATTCACATATTAAAGGGGTAATAAATTGAAACAACAACAACAACAACAAATCATGCTTACTGTAATGCACATGTAAATCTAGATGTAATCGTACACTTCAACTTTCATTGTAAGTGCATTACTGTAGATGTTTTTGTTTGGTGTATTATTACAATATTTGGGGATATTCCTTCACTGCATAGTGGCGATAAAGAAAAAAATGCTGGGTTGTTTTAACCCAACTTTGGGTCGAATATGGACAAACCCAAACGTTGGGTTAAAAATGTAATGTAAAATTTTAACCCAATGACCCAATGAGTTCTTCTCTAAAAGTTTTGACAAATGATGTGTATGTCACTATCTTATATAAACATCTTGTGTTTATTCTTTCAGTTTCCATTTCCTTTGTGTGTTTGTATATGTCTTCATGCATTCAGCATTGTTAATGCAAATATCCTTCATTAACATTCACTCTTCTCTTGTTGTGTCTTGTGTATTTTATGAATTTGGTGCCAATATTTCACTAAATGTTGCCTGCTGTCAGTCTTCTTTCGAGTCTTGGTGTTAGATTATATTAATGTGAAAAACCCTTCAGAGTAATAAATCATTTTACACATTGTACAATATGAATTGAATGTGTGTTTTATTAAACAAATGTGTCTATATGATGAATCCTGGAGCCAATCTTATCCAACAACATTGAATTTTCATAAAATAATACTGGATTTAATATGTGTGTGTACTGCAGCACCATGTCTGGAGTATGGTGTGACATTCGAGACACACATTGTGGAGAAGTTTGGTGTGTCTTTTGGACGTGAGGGTGAGACGTTGAGTTTGGGCTGCTCTGTTATCATCTACCCTTCATTGCAACGCTTCCAGCCTGAGATCGAGTGGTACAGAGATGGTAAGTCTGTGTGAAAAATTATAATAAGCCCTCATAAGATCTTTTGCAAAAATTAATGTAATCAGATAATATTGCTAATAAAAAAATACAAATATTTAAAAAAGATAATATTGGTAATATTGGGTGATTCTGAAATCAATTTATCATTACATATCTAATCTTTACTTCTTGTAAATTGGTGCATTACACATACCAGTCATAAGTTTGGAATAAGTAGGATTTTTTTTATGTTTATGAAAGATGTCTCTTATTTTCACAAAAGCTTTAAAACAGCAATATTGTAAAATATTATTAAAATTTAAAATAAATGTTTTCTATTTAAATGTATTTTAAAATATAATTTATTCCTGTGATGCAAAGCTGAATTTTCAGCATCATTATTCCAGTCTTCAGTGTCACATGATCCTTCAGAAATAATTCTAATATGCTGATTTGACACTCAATTATAAATTATTATTGGTGCTCAATTATTAATAATGATTCTTATTATTATCAATGCTGATAACAGTTTTTGCTGCTTGATAATTTTGTAGAAATCGTGATAACATTTAATGAAAAAACAGCATTTATTTGAAATAGGAATTTTAACATTTTACATGTCTTTACTTCACTTTTTATCAATTTAATGAGTCCTTGGTGAATAATAGGATTGTCTTTTTTAATCTGACTTACCCCAATTTTTACCCCAAAAATATTAAGCAGCCCAACTTTTTTCAATATTGCTAATAATAAGAGTTGTTTCCTTGAGCAGCAAATCAACATATTCAAATTATTTCTGAAGGATCATGTGACACTGAAGACTGGAGTAATGATGCTTTGATCACAGGCATAAATTACATTTAAAAAATATTTTATAACTAATTTCACAATATTAATGTTTTTTATTTGTCAAATAGATGCAGCGTTGAAGATAAGAGACTTAATTATATCAAACTTTTGATTGGTATGGTACAATTTCTTTTAAATACCTAGCCTAAATGTATTTTCCGCTTACCCTGCAGTGCTTACTATTGCTACCTTGAGATTCATAATGCATGGATGTGTTTGTGTATCAGATAAACTGCTGGCGCCATCAAAATGGTTTCAGACGCACTGGAGCGGCGACAGAGCTACACTCACTCTCACACACCTCAACAAGGAGGATGAGGGGCTGTACACACTTCGTGTCATAACCAAGTCTGGCTTTGAGACACATTCTGCATATGTCTTTGTCAGAGGTGAGGACTACTAAAGTGAACTATTTCTAACTCAGCCTGCTACATTATTGCAAGCCACTTTATTCATGCTGGTAATACAGTAAATGTGTTAAATGAAGAGTATTTAGGCTACACTACTATTACAAATAGATGTAAATAGGGGTGGTGATGATGGCGCAGTGGATAAGACACATGTCTTTGGTGTGAGAGACCCGGGTTCGAATGCGAGACACCAATGTGTCCCTGAGCAAGACACTTAACCCCTAAGTTGCTCCAGAGGAGTGCGACCTCTGACATATATAGCAATTGTAAGACTTTGGATAAAAGTGTCAGCTAAATGAATAAATGTAAATGTAAATATTAAAAAGTGCGTTTTTTGCGTGTGTTAATTTAGACGCACATAATTCTATTTTGTTAAATAACGGTATGAAATTGGGAAAGTTACAGGTATCAAAACAAGTGCACATTTCACCCTTGAATTATTTGAAACATTTACTGGTATTGTAGAAATCCACTAATCAAATTGATTTGATTCTTCCTCAATGAGCAAAATTATAATTTTGTTTTTATAGATTTTGTTATTTTATATTGCAGATTTTAGTTGGTCTGTTTCAAAATATTCTAAATTATTACAGATTACTGTAATATCACAATTTGTTACGTGCTAATTGATTTACAAGAAAAAAAAAGCATTAAACTAACTCTTTTGGCTTGTACTGTGTGTGAGTTTCGCATGTCTCTCTGAGCCTCCCTTCACAGTTCATGTTTCATTCTAAATTTATCCTTGTCGTCCCGTGTCTATGCTGTCATGACATTCAAATGAAGGAGTTGTGAGACTGTCACACTTAACACTTCCCAAGAGTAGTTGCAATACACTTTTTAAAACTTGAATTGCATTTAGATTTTAATTTGGAAACCCTTTATTTTAAGGTGACGTAGTTACATTGTACTTACTTAAGTAATATTAATTAATTACGTTTAATTAACTGTACTTACCAAAGAGTTACGGTAAGGGTTTGGTTTAGGGTTAGTTAATGTATTTATGAATAATTCAATGTTATTCTATATAGTAAGTGCATGTAGTAATGTGTAACTACCTCACCTTAAAATAAAGTGTTAATACTTTTAAGAACAACTTAAGTACAAATGTATATGCGATTAACATCTCTATTGAAAATTGAATGTCATGTATATGAAATAGATTTGTTAAATTTAGTATTTAGTACATTTAAAATATGTTAACTTTAAATGTAATATTGAATAACACACCAGTTAAATTATAATAAAGTGCTTTAGTTTGTTAGTCAACACTTTAATGAGTGTACTTCTTTAAAGCACGACAACATGAAGTTTTATGTAACAAAGTTCAGGAGGAGCACGTTCAGGTAATCAACCAATCAGCACAAGAGGAAGCCGGTATAAATATAGCCTTCCCTCACCTCTGTCCCATGACAGTTTCACAGCATCCCTCCACCACCCCATCGCCTCACTCTCAGCTGGTTTCTATCCTAGTAAAGGGAGTACTCTGGGCTCGGGCCAGATTTCGAGCTCGGAGCCCTCTCCTGGACAGCACGCCAAATACATATAAATTACTACATCTGATTTCATGTATGTGTGAACTTGTGAAATATTATTAAAACATAATGATTTTAAAGTATCACTTTTAAAAAGCGTGGCCTTTTATTTCAATTACAGTTCAATTAAGTGCACATTCAATACAACTAAGTGCACTTCTTTTTCACAAGAAGATGGCATGTGACATTGTGAATTTGAACGAATAGAACATGTTTAAATGATTCAATTGTTGAAATGATTCACTTCATTTTATTTGTGTGTTTGCTAGATGCTGATGGTGAGGTTGCTGGTGCTCCTGGTGCTCCTTTAGATGTATATTGTCAGGATGCCAATAAGGATTATGTCATCGTTACCTGGAAACAGCCTGCTGTGGACGGCGGAAGCAGCATTTTGGGCTACTTTGTTGATAGGTCACTGCATCTGTATAAAAAATATCACACACAATCATAAAACATCGAAAGTAGACATAATGAAGATATTAGCCATAATGTAAATCGGGTTTTCTACTCTGGGAATGAAGGTCAACATTTCCGCAGGGTTCAGTTCCAACCCTAATCAAGCACACCTGAACAACCTAATTAAGGTTTTCAGGATTACTAGAAAATTACAGGAAGTTAACACAGTTTTCAGTGTACTCTAAATGCTTTGATCAAGTGTGGAGCTAAACTCTGCAGGACAGGACGCCTGAACCAAACAGTGACGGGCTGTTTACAAAACATTGTTTTCAACTAAATGAAAGAAAACGTCTCGGTTACGGATGTAACCCTCGTTCCCTGAGTAGGGAACAGAGACGTTCCGGCGGATGACGACGAATGACCACAGCAAAATCCCATTCGTCATCATCGGACGGAACTCGGAGTGACAACGAAGGGGAACAACGAAGGGGAACATCTCGGTTACGGATGTAACCCTCGTTCGGAACGAGGGTTACATCTGTAACCGAGATGTTTACATTCGTAACCAAAATGTTTACATTCGTAACCGAGATGTTTACATTCGTAACCGAGATGTTCCCTTTTGCTATGCTCATTCGTCGTCATCCGACGGAACTCGGAGTGACAACGAAGGGGAACAACGAAGGGAAACATCTCGGTTACGAATGTAAAAATCTCGGTTACGAATGTAAACATTTCGGTTACGAATGTAAACATCTCAGTTACGGATGTAACCTTCATTCCGAATGAGGGTTACATCCGTGACCGTTGTTCCCCTTCGTTGTCACTCCGAGTTCCGTCGGTAACCGAGATGTTTACATTCGTAACCGAAATGTTTACATTCGTAACCGAGATATTCCCTTTCGCTATGCTCATTCGTCGCCATCCGACGGAACTCGGAGTGACAACAAAAGGGAATTGTTTGTGCATCTTACCATTTCATTTAAACGACAACAGAGTTTTGGAGGACTGAAAATACTAACATTTTTCAAAAGGGGTTTGACAGTGCATGTTTTTGAAAACGATACCATTATTGTCTCGGTGTAAACTTCAAAAAATGCAAATTTGTGAAAACAGTGACGTTATGCGCATGCATATAGAGTGCCGAAGTTACGACGTCACTCTGTAGGCCAAAACGTGGAAGTGAGTTAGCATTTTAGCGCAAGCATATAGAGTGCCGAAGTTACGACGTCACTCTGTACGCCAAAACGCAGAAGTGAGTTAGCATTTTAGCACTCCCTGTTCCCTCGCTCTAAAGTCTATGGGATTTTTGAATGGGTTTTTGCTAAATTGCCTGAAATAAGGTCTGTGTGGTGAACAAAGACTCTAAATATTTTTACGTTTTGATCTATGACATAGAACACACAGTTATAACCTGCTTGTGCTTTTTTGTGCTTTATTATTTTTAAAACTTTATTGTGCTTGTGTTTTTTAAAATCTTTATATCGGCTTTATAAACGTGTAAGGGTCACAACTCTTTGTTAAACACAGATCTTATTTTGTGCGATTTTCCAAAAGTCTGTGGGGAAAATGCATAGCTTTTCAACCGAGAGAACCCATGCGCCGCTAGCGTCTGAGTTGTCCTACAAAGTGACGTCATCACTTCGGCACTCTATTACGTGTACAGTCTATAGGCACATAGAGTTTCTTTCTTTAGAAAGTTACATTGCCAACTACTGGCCTGGAAGCACAATGCTGCATTTTTAATCTTTTTCGTGGATCTATGTAAATGGGAATACTTTTGACAACGTTGTTGTATCTAAGCGAAAAACAATGATTTTTTCTTCCATTTTTAGTACATCGTTGTTGCGTAAACGTACCCTAAATCTCAAATCACTGGAAAATCAGCTAGATCCACCAAACATGGAGTTTTCTAAAATTATGATTTTGAACAATTTAGAGACTAAATGTACGCTGTATACAGTGTCCTCACAGCTGTAGCTTATCTTCTATAAAATTACAACTGTTCTGGTTCTTATCAAATAAAATGCGGCTAATCTCACAATTCTGAACATTTTCTTGCAATTTCTCACTATTTCTAAGTTTTGTGAAATTAAGTTTCTAAGTTTTGTTAAAATGAAGTTACAATTACTATTTAATTGTGAGTTTATGTCTCACAACTCTGAGAACTAAGTCAGAACTGTATATTATAATCTCGCAATTGCAAGAAAAAAGTCAGAATTGTGAGATAAAATGTCGCAATGCTTTTATTTTCTATTCTGTGGTGAAAACAAGCTTCCATAGGATCTAGACCATTTCTTGACTGTTTTTTTATTGCTTGTTCACAAACAGCCCTGCTTTCTGATTTTTTTTTTTTTTTTTTGTAACATCAGATTGTATTTCTTCATGCATTAAATTTTATTTTCCTTTATGACCTTTCTCCTGTGTAGGTGTGAGGTTGGCACTACACACTGGGCACAATGTAACGACACTCCTGTTAAGTTTGCACGTTTCCCTGTTACTGGTCTTGTGGAAGGACGAAGCTATGTGTTCCGCGTGCGTGCTGTCAATAAGGCTGGAATGAGCCATCCATCCCGTGTCTCTGAACCAGTAGCCGCTATGGACCCTGCAGACCGCACAAGAAAAGGTAAACAGACTGGCACGGCAAATACACAAAAACAAAATGAAAACAAAACAAGCAGAACAATATACTGTACATTCTTTCTCTAGGTGCCTCTGCTCCTTGGACTGGACAAATAATTGTAACTGAGGAAGAACCTGTGGGTGAGGAGCTTGGACAACTTTTTTATCCAATTCAAATGTTATTTTTAATGTGATGACCAAAAAACTAAAAAAAAAAAAACTAAAACTGAAAAGTTTCAAGATGTAGGATAAGAATTAAGAATCTTTATAAATAACGTTTGTCATTATTTCGATGTTAAGTCTTTATAATGACAAAGTTCGTCATTATTACAAAAAAGGAATTATCTCTTTATATCTTTTGTTAGTATTATATCTTAAAGAGTCATATTTTTAGTTGTAGTGGAGAATGTCTTCCATTTGGAATCACTTTGAAATTATTTTTAAAAATCCTTATACAGCGATCAAACAACTGGAAATGTGTGTTGGTCAAATACTGTACCTGTATTTTTGACATGTCCTTGATATATCCATTGGATTCTCTTTGACCACACCACAGTTAATTTCTTAAAACGGATGAATTACACTAAAGTACTGTAGCAAATGCAACATATAATAATATACATAAAATGTATTAAAGGGGGCCGAAGGCCAATTTAGCTCAAAGGGAAATGATTCATTGATTTGCAATGAATCTATGGAACCGAATCACTGAACCGAGCAAATGACTCGCTTAGAGTTCATTTGAACGGGCCGTAATTATAACCAAATCTATAGTGAAACACTATGTCTTAGCAAGGTAACTTTAAATCGAACAGTACAAGACATTAAATGTGCAAACACGACACAAGAAGATTTATCTTTTCAAATATATGGACGAGACTTTATTAGCTATTCTAAGCACAAAACTAAGGTCTAAACATAATCACGCACACGCACACACACATTCATACAGTCGCGAAAGGGAAAGAGTGAGTTGGAAAGAGTGAGGGAAAGTTTCAACTTTCTATATGCACGTAAGACATAACCTGAAAGGACCACCAAGCATTAATTTGAACCTTCATTTCTTAGAGAGGTTATTCAATTAACATTAAAGCACCAGTTCAGTTAGAGCTTGGAGTACTTGCGCTTTGTAGTGGCTGAGGGAATTCCCTTTGTCTGCGTCGCGTCGAAGGGGGGTTTCCCGGCCGGGTCCGTTGCGTGGTTTGTTGTCTTTGAAGTGCAGGGATGGAAGTTTCGCCGCTGGTCACGTGTGATTAGCAAGCGAATGAGAGTCTTTTCCAATTCGAAGCGCGTTGCAAACTTAACTTTGAAACGAGACTTTTACGAAAAAGGAAATAAAGGAAAGAAATGAAAGCAAGGCGAGTCGGATGGCTTGACTGAGCTGAATTGTAACCCTGATCTTGATGGGTTATTCGTCTGCTGGTCGAATTTGGTCTAGTCGATGTAGAAGCATGTGGACATGTTCTTTGTTTCAGAGATAAGCACGAACAGAACACTCTCTTGCTGGTTTTAGAGAGAGGCACGGACTTAACAGTTACAGAACTGAACGAACTGAACAAAAATCTAAACAAAAAATCATCTGAAATCTTCTAAAATCTACAAAAATCTGATCTTGAGGTCCTTTGTTCGGATCTTTAACTTAAACTCTAGTCCAACCTCCAAGAAGCTTCTGGCCAATTGGAGGCGGATCTACTTCTTGCTTTATCATAATTTATGCATGGTCTGTGAGCTGGTCTCCAGCACTTAGCAGAGACAAAAGACCATCGTTTTAACCTTATGATAATTATAATAATAAAACAAAACCTTTTACGCAGATTTCAATCAAGCCATCTTTTGAATTAGGAGAATACGATTCGTTTAAGAGTAAATGAGGCATTCACACTTCTAATGGTTGTATAACAATTACAAGAGTTAATAGTTAACAACAATTACATGATTCATATGTGATCTAAGCATTAACAAACAACACATGAATTGCAGAAAGCAATGAGACTTGTGAGGTTTGATTAAAAGTTCAAGAATTGTTCTGTGGTGAGTTTATATGATTTTATGTGTGAGATCTCCGATCTCAATTGTAAGGTTACTGAGAGTTCAACTCGAAGGGGGACGAGGCAAAGGTGTTCTGTGGAACATCTCTGTCAGGGCATCAGAGGGGTCTTTGATGTGAGATCTCGTTCCACCATTTTGGAGCTGATTTGTCTTAGTTAAAATTACCATATTGACACGTTCGTCCTGTTTAGTGCCCATCTCTTGGGCCTGTGGGGCAATAAAAGTCCTTATCTGCAGACAGCACGGAGTCGTTCCGTGACTCTGGAATGTGGGCTCCAGAACTTGGAGTGTTGAAGCCATGTGAATTAATCCCATGAGAGATTAATTTGATTAAGTTGTGTTTGATTCGCCTCGATTCTCTACATATTCCCCCCTCGATCGATGATGGGTTGAGAAGAAGACATCATTGAACGCTGGAGAAACAGAAGAAGAAGCAAACACACACAGCAAACAACAAGGCAACTCCTCCATGACTGGTCACTTTACTGGTGCAGGGCATTAGGTTATCTAGGCCTAACGAGTTCACTCTCTCAATATAGTCAATTATGTGGAAAAAGTTTAGTTCAATTTTAGGACCGTTATTCTAGTTTGTGTTAAACGGTGATTGATCAACTTTGTGACTAAATTTGATTTGTTTGTTTTATCCACTTCTAAATTGTTCTAGGTTTAGACCAATTTACCTTCCAAATTTTGATTCGAATGATGCAGGGAGTTCTCTGGCTAACATTCGTTCTAAGGTGACTTGCAAACGTCAGGCGTGGTGCGTCAATCCTTATATTGTAACCTTGACCCTTATGGGGTAAAAGGGATTTTACCTAATAAGAGAAGAAGGGAAGGAAGAGGTAAAACAAAACAAAGCAGTTGAGTGACTCCAGTATGGGTACTGTTGTGCAGTGACAGGTGTCAACATGTGATGAGAGGTGTTATACTTGTTGGGTGTATCGCTATATGTTTCCGGTGGAAAGGGTAGCTAATACAATGAAAAACATGTTTGTTGAATGTTTTCATGGTAGATGTGTTTAACTTGTGTATGTCAGTACAGTGTAGTGTAGTGTATGTACTGTATGTATGCTGTATGTATGTCAGATCTGTCTCAGTCTGTTTTGCTCCCCCCTTTGCTTGATGGCTTAGCTTTGATGAGCTTGTCGCATCTTTGCCTTGGAAAGGGATCTTCTGTGATCTGATGGGGGGGTCAGTCCAGTAAGGCAGGAAGTTCTCTGGCAGACATTGGGAGGTGGTTCGGCACGGATGCGTGAAGCTGTAGTGCAAAACATGGTCTCCTTGTTGCATTCCACTTGTGATGCCTTCTGGTTGTGACAGACAGTCTGACTTCTGTGCTTACTGGTGTTGCGGCAGCACACAGATGGTTCTTGAGTTTGGAGCTTGTGGTGTGATGGGTAACCAGGATGGTGTTTTCTGGTACCTCTGGGTGTTTGTCAGTGGTTGACTGTGAGAGGCCACTTTGTTCTGTGTTGTTGTAGAACAGGTGGTCGTCTCAGGAAGGTGTGCAAGGTGATCACTGGTCTTCTGTGTTCAGCTTGTCTTTGAAGAACACTTGCAGTCGACTCAGTAGTCGCTCCATGTCCTCTGAGGGGAGACTGTCGTGTTCTTGGACACACTCAGTGTGGTGTGGAGGTGGGTTTCGTTGTCGCTTACCCACATAGAATGCTTTTGGATGCACTCGTTGATTCCAGTTGTTTCCTTCTGGTGGGTCCCATGACTTTTCCACGTGGTTGGAGTGGTCGCTGTCGTTAGCATGGGAGTAGCATTCTCTGTGCTCCTGATGAAGGACTGTGGCGTTGTCATGCCACTGGGTGTCTTCCAGTGCAAGGCTTGTGTCTTGGCTGCTGGAGTTTGACACTGTGGATGTTTTCAAACCTTTCTTGGAAGTCATCTTTTGTTTGATGTAGGCCTTGTGTGTCAGGTCACGTAGCTGTTGAAGCGTCATGGTGACTGGGCAGGCCATGATGCCGAGATGACGACTCAGTCCTGGGTGCAGGTTTCTCAGGAAGAGGGTTTTGAAGTTCAGATCCTCTTCAGATTCAGGTTTGCTATGTGCACCGAAGTAGGCTTGTCGGAAACGGTGATAATAGGCTTGGGGAGTCTCTTGACGACCTTGTTTGGTTTCCAAGGCGACTAACACACCGTGTTCTGACTCTGGACTTGTAAATTCTTTAATCAGGATCTCACGTAGCAGCTGGTAGTTTGACTTGACATGAGCAGGTTGTCGGTCTAGGACGCTTCGTACCTCTTGACTGGATGTGGATCTGAGGAGGTATAAAATGTCTCTGTCAGTCATATGTGGTCTCACCTCTAGGAGGAAGTCGATATCTTGGAGGTAGGCCTGGATGCAGTGGCCCTCCGTGGAGTTCGGGTCGAACTGGGTGATGTTCTTAGCCAGCTGGTTGAGATCTTTGAAGGTCATTCCAGTTGCAGCTTTGGAGTCTGGCTGGATGATCTCTCTTTGTTGGTTGGCAGGGAAGAGTTCTGTGGTGAAGGCCGGTGACGTTTTGGGGTGTGGCCATTCACTTCTTCCGTAGGATGACAGTTCTTGGATGGAGGACTCTGTTCTGCTCAGCAGTGATGATGCTGAGGGAGGTCTCTCCCTTCTTGGCTCTGGTTTCTGTGTAAAGACATGTTGGAGTTCATTTCTGACCGCGTAGAGCTCGTCGTTGGCGTCGTCTCGCTGTTGGGTCAGATGGTCAATTTCAACGCTGCACCTTCGCAGGTGGTCTTCCAGAGCAGTGAGTTTAGAGTTCTTACTTTCAATGTCAGCTTTGGCTTTCTCTAGCTGATGTTCAGCAGACTGGAGTTGGTTTTCCAGGTGCTTCTGGACAGTCTTTAACTCTTGTTTGTCACGTTCAGTGACTGCAAGGGCTTCTTGGAGCTTGTCAACTTGGGTCTTTGTTTCATGCTCCGCTTCGTCGGACGCTTTGAGCTGGTCTTTGCAGTGTTGAGTGTGCGTCAGCTCTCTCAGGAACCCGGTGGTCTTGAGGTCGTCCTGGACTTTCACTTCCAGCTTGTCTATGCGGCTTTGGGCACGTGTCAGCTCCTCCTGAAGGTGGGTGACGTGCTGGTGGCTTAGGTTTAGC